GGGTAGCTAAATATATTAGCAACTATAAGTTCCAGCTAGACGGTCGAACTCTCTGATTTCGGGCAGAGAAGAAACCGGACGAGGCTCCGCCGAAGGGCAAAGTCGTGTTCGGGGAGGTTGACCGACCCGATCCCGTTTTTGCGTGTACTACGGGCATTTTTCGGCCGAGCCTACGGATTCGGAAGACCCACGTTAAACCCGGCCTTATGCCAGATCTACCCTCGGCCAAAGTGCAGAGTTTCATTCGGGGAGGATGACTACCAATGAACCGGTTTATGCGGGTTCAAAAGTCAATACGTTAAACCCGGCCTTGTGCTACATGAAACACTCGTGGAGGAGGGTAGTAAATATCGACTAGCTGCGATCTGTTCCATCTGGCCGGTCGAATTCTCTGCCTCTGAGCAGAGAAGAACCCGGACGAGTCTAGTTCGGGGAGGTTGAGCAAACAGATCCAGTTTATGCAGATTTTACCGGCATTTTTTGTCCGAGCCCTTAGGCTCGGAAGACCCACGTTAAACTCGACCTTGTGACCCATCTACCTTCGTGGGGGGAGGCTAGTAAATACCGACTAGCTGAGACCTATTACCCAGCTCTTAGCTGCTGTCGAACTCTATGCCTTCGACTAGAAAAGAACCCGGACGAGGCTATGCCGAAGGGCAGAGTCCCGCTCGGAGAGGTAGACCGACCCGATTACGTTTATGTGGGGTTACGGGGAATTTTGGGCAAGGCCTACGGGCTCCGGAACCCCACATTAAATTCGGCCTTGTGTCACAGTTGACTGCGTGGGTCAGTTGCTATATGCACTTGCTGCAATCTGTTACTCATCTCTTAGATGCTGTCGAACTCTGTGCCTTCGGGCAGAGAGGAACCCGTTTATTAGGGTTTACGGGGAATTTTTGGCTGAGCCTAAATAAATATTACTATCTGGGATCTGTTGAGTACAACTCAGACTTATGTGAGAACTACCGACCTTCCAATAGTAGAACTCACTACTGGATTGACTTGCGACGACCTTTGTACATAACTGTCACCTTTATTCCTATTGTACTGGTTTTTACAATAAACCTTTACTTGTTTTACCCACCTTATTTTTCAAATATATATTCCTATTAGCACGGAATATAACAATTAGAAACAAAGAAAGAGTACTGAGGTGTTATGTAATACCAGACCTCTTACATGGCAGTGAATGCTAGACAATCTCATCACGGATGAAGAAAAGACTTGAAGCAACAGAAATGTGGTTCTACAGAATGATGCTTAGAATACCATGGACCAAACATACAAAGTTTTAGAGAGAATACAACCAAAAAGATCACTTATACTTAACATCAGCGAGAGACAATTGAAATTTCTAGGGTACGTAATGTGGAAAATAGGTTTGGAAAAGCCGATACTCACAGGATAGTTTAACGTCAAGAGGGATAATGAAAAACAACGCATAGCCTACATAACAATCTTGAGGAAATAGATAAAAGAACAAGAACTAACAAGAAGACAAAAATATTAAGAGCTACAAAGGGGAGGAAAATTATAGAAAGCAATAATTCCCAAAGTTCTAAATGGGCACGATACAAAGAAGAATTAAAATCAATATTAATAATGTTGATAATATTTCAACTAATACTAATCTGGTATAATTATGAATAAAGAGGTATCTTTTGATCTATGATTGTTTTGTAACTTTTACGGCTTATCAACCTCTTGAAAGTTACTTTTTAAAGCTAGAAAATATTTTTAGATTCTAAGTATTGGCAATTTACTGACACAAGTTTTAATAATTAACCCATAGCTGGGGAGAAATGTGGATTCATCCGTTTCTCATTGTCATTAAAACATACGCAGCTCTTGGATTTCCATTTCCAAGCATTCTAATCTTACAGTACCTGGTATCCCCAAGCGGTCAGCCATCTAGCTACTGGCAAGGCTCGAAGATGCTTAACATCTGTGATTATACGAGAAACGATGTTTAAACGTGATATGGCCGCAAGCCTATTTTAACCTAGGATATTACCAACAATTTGCATTGTCTCCCATAGTTCACTCAATACAAGACTCAAGAGCCACTCAAGGTAGAAGATTACTGAATGCGTTTGTTGTATGGATGTAAAAGAAGGAGATAATTAGTACATATTATGGTGATTTTCTAAGCATAGCTTAGATGAGACACATGGCCGAAAGTATAGGGTAGCCAGTGAAAATCGAACTATTTATGCAGCGACAAGCTTGCTAATTATTACATCACATCGACGTGCCCAAAATATGGAGCAGAAAGAGGAAGGAAGGAGAAATCAAGACAATAATTTGGTCATTGTACGAGCCGAGATAAAAGCATAGATTTCGAATGGCTACTTCCAAAGTAGGCAGATTTTATTTATTTGAAATATTAGTGTAACCAAATATTTCTCCCTTTATTGCAGCGAGCCGCGTGCTTTACTAAACCAAGATGATGAATTGAATATAAAAGCCAAATATATTACCAGTCATCATAATGCAGTCGCTAACATCTGCTCTAAACAATATATTTTTTTTATTTGAAAATAAAAATCGTGATTATGCTATGACGTAAATTTATAAAATAATTCAACCCAATACAAGCTCGTGAGCAACTCAAGCTAGAGACTTGCACTCATCAAATTGGTAATACTGTGCGTCTGGTATGAATGGAAAAGAAAGCTATAGGAAGTGCAGATTAACAGGGTAAGGATGATAGATAACATCAAACTCTGGTCTTAAAGGTGGTTGTGAAGGATCAGGCTACTCCTGAAGAGTCGTGAGCAGGAGTCACAGAAACGTGTGGGTGGTGGAAGCGGCTGGGCGAGTCAGGTCGTCCTGACAGCATATCGCACATCCTCTTCATGTTAACGGTTTGATTCAAAAGTCTCGGTCTCCAACATACGCAAACACCCGATGGTCCTACCTCAGGAAGGCCGATTTGCAGCAACGGTTTACCAGATTTCAGGGTCGATGTTGGGCTGTGTCAAGGTTGTCAATGACTGCTACTTGAAGCGTCGTTTTGACTCTCCGCGTAAGGTCTTGCTGCTAGCGAGGTCTCCAAACAGGATGATACGTGGGAGTCAAGTGGGGCGCATTCTGGAAACGTGGGCCGCCCAGCGGAGATGATATTGAAGCATGGCAGCTTCTATACTGCGGAAGGACGTCCAAGATAGTTGTTACCTGATTACCGTTAAATGAGTCCGTATCAGTTATTATTAACTGTTTATAGACTGGGATCATCACATAACATTCGACTAAAGAAAAACAGTTAATAATATTAAAGGCGGGAGTTATAAACTGACCTAAGGGGATCTAGTTTAGATTAAACTATTTTATACCTCGTGGCCTGAAGTAGGCTAGCTTCAAACTCTGGGGGTTATTTTGGATTAGACCAAACTATCCCACTCTCTTCCCTGTGAAGCATAGAGTTACAGCCTCACCACACTTTGTTGTTACAGTGGTTTCTGTAGGGAGTAAGTGTCTATGGGATGGAATTGACGACTGCATGCACAACGGTTATTTTTTAATTCACGGATTGAGGAATCAGAGAGCCGATTTCGAATTCCAGCTAAATCCATTATATCCACTTACGTGCTAATACCCTTTTAAAATTTATGAATCCTCTTCTTCTCCCCATAGCTATGGGTAAATAGCAGCACACACCGGGTTCTTTAGCTTTGGATGGCAGCTGGTTTACCACAGAAAGATATGGCAACCTACCGCGGAAAAAAAAAAAAAAAAACTACCTCGTCATTCATGTATCGAAAGATACATGATCGTCTAAGCGTGTATCTCGTATGACACATGACTAAATTCTATTTGACTCGATGCCGACCAAAACTAGAAAGTTCAGTTTAGAATAATATTTGACCCGTAGCTGGTGGGTTGAGTGAAGAGTTGGATCCATACCGTTTCCAACAATACTAGTGCGAAAATGACTTGGTCAGAATTCGAACTCGGCTAGCTGATTTTTTTTTCGAATTGATATCAGTTACACTACCCGCGCATTTAAACTAAACTCTACCCAAGTATATTCCACGAGTGGGTTAATCTGGGTGATTCCACTGATTGCCGTTGAAGAAAATGATAATGAGTAAATGATGGAACTAGAAATTCTTGAAAACCAAGCAACTGATTCTAGCATGTACTACTCTTAATTAGGTAAGAGAAAGGGAATAAGAATCTATTAGGATAATACATAAGGACAGGTTTGTATAGTGAACGAACTTTAATTAATTGTTGGGGAGATTTTCAATCGTTCGCTGACTTTACCAGATTCTGAAACTTGGGATTTGATCATTAGATCCAGCCTTTACAGAACTCCCTTAAATGCTTTGGAAGACTTTAACATATATGAAGATCAGCTATTTGTTGTTCTTGTAGGAGATTAAAAAATTTCTTGGAAGAGAGAATTATTAAGTCGTTCGACAAATAAAAGAATATAAAGGACAAATATGTTGTTTGCTGAAGTTAACGTGGAAAATAAAAACATTTGTTTTTATCCGACTTAAAAAATAACAAACTTTTTAATTAGCCATTTATGCTTGATTTAGATATAGTTTAATACACATTTAAAAAAAAACGGATATGTCATCTACAGATTAATGTTGTCTAATATGAACGGATATAAAGAATATTAAATTTATAAGGGAATATTTATAATCCATCAATATTCTGCGACGAGAGTTACGAAAGCGACCTTAGACAATATATATTATTTATTTATGGGTGGGAAAGACATCAAGCACAGTTTTCAAGTCATCCTCATCTGATCAAAAAACAAATAGACATAAAATGTAGCCAATGCAAATTATGTTTTACAGAAATCTAGGATTTTAATGAAGGCAGCTGCTTTGACCTGAAGCCTGTATACTTATTAGCATGTTAATCAGTTTATACTGCTGATAGGAAAATAAACAGGAAATATATATATATATATATATATATGAAGCTTAGCCAAAGTAAACCTCCCAAAGTAGGTGAATGATCTTCATGCATTGGGCTTACGACCATATCACGTTGAAACTCCTGTTCTACGAACACCGAAGTTAAGTAACGTTGAGACTGGCCATTACTTAAATGGGTGACCGCTTTGGAAAACCAGATATTGCAAGCTTGGATGTACGTTTGTTTTAACGAATAACGGCTCGGAATTGGAAATCGGTGAGACGAGTTGCAACCGAGTTCCTTATATTCATTTACCCAGAGATAGTTATGAATCCATATCTTCTCCCTCCCGCTATGGGTTAATTAGTAGGACTTGTATCAGTAAATCATTATTATCTCAAAAACATTCTTAAATTTAAAAATATTTTCTGGCTGAATAAATAAGCTGGAAAAGGTTGATAAACCGTAACACAACAAATCAAATCAATCTTTGTTTCGCGATTATGAAAACATTTTTTGCAGTTCCTGAAGAATAAGTGATTCTAAAGCAAACTTCAACCAGAAGAAAATCGATTAAATTTTGTTAGCTATGTTTCATCTGGCAGAAATACATAGTAGATAGAATGGTCGCTAAGCTATCTTGGTGGTAGTTTATGTAACCCAAATGTTAGACAATAGGTAAAATTTCGGAGAGCTTTTTATGGCATTTGTAACATTACACAACTTACTCTGAAATTCTGTGATTTACTACGGGAATGAAAGAAAGCCATAATAATTGTTGCTTTCCAGCTTTAGCTGAATTAAAAAGCGCTTACGCGGCCTTGCGTATGATGAATTATTTTTTCAACCTAAGACCCCTTTCCACCAGCCGAAATATTGCTAGATTCATTACTCTGTTATTTTCATGGGAAATATTCAGATGATATACATTCCCTACTACCACTAGTTCAGACCTTTACAACTCGGATCCGCCAAGCCACGTACCCAGGGTCAATACATCCTTATTACCTTGGTATTCCATTAGTAAGAAAGAAGTTCCACTCAAACAAATTCTTCGTCAGAAATGTTACTTTATAGAACACTCTTCAACTTTACAAACAACCGTTCGTTTTTCTATATATCCTCATAAACATTATTTCTTTCTTCCTCCTTTTGCGTCCTTCAATAAACTAATTCATTAACACTTTACCTAGAGTAATTACTGGACCTTTTATATCAGTTTGAAGCAATTTAATAGAAGCCGTTCGATGATAAAAAAAAAATCATTAGGTAAATATGAAAACGGTATAAATAACGACATTCTCTGTATTCAAACATAACGACAACATTTTTAAATGAATGACAAATGACCTATATCACCACGTTGCTATCGATCAAAATTTAATATAACTTTACATAATAAGAGGAATTCTATAGATTTTATGTTGACCATATATATATTAAATTACGATGTCAACCAATCACCCTACCTTGGTTTCAACTTTTCGGTATCCTCAGTCGATCTCGTGTGTGATCTCCTAACTTTTGAAATTAGAAAGGTCTACACGTCAAATTGTTAATTTTTATTCTCTTCACGTGTGCATTGAGCCCTTTTTAATACAACTCTTTCCTGGCCTAATTTGACCAATAGCTGTTTTAGAATATATATATATATATATATATATATATATATATATATATGTTATACATATATATATATACACACATATATATATATATATATATATATATATATATATATATATACACACACACGAGGGTATGACGGATGAATTATCGTCTAAATTAGGTCAGAAAGAAAATGACATTGACATCTCATTTTAACAGAAAAATTTACGAAACTTACACACAAATATCTTGAAATACTAAAATTAAAATCTCAATTAGTTTTAACCACATCCAAACGACTTCGAAATCTCATCCAACTCTTCTGAGCGATCTCCTTATTTAAGTTGTTGAATGCTGCCATAATTCTTGCCATCGGTTCATCTTTGGTGTTAAAAGAAATTTTGTTGGTCTATCTCTCAGCTACGCCGCACACAGAATAATCAATGGGGTTGCAGTCTGGTGACCAGGTGTAAAGGGTGATGTAGTCGAAGAAATTGTATGATATGGTGTAGATTACTGTTGCCAGACATAGGGTCTTCAGCACCCACTCTCTTGACCCAGACCAGCACTAACTCCTCAAGGCATTTGATGTAGGCCTCGGTGTTAAATCTGAGCCACTCACCAACAAATTCACGAGTTTTTTTTTTATCAGAAGGATCAAAGTGAATTTTCCGAACTGTCGTAATCACCATAAGACTCATCTAACTCTTTCCGAATCCTCTACACTATCCTTATATTGACACCCAAACACTCCGAAATGTTCGTATTAGAGCTTCCATCATGAATGCCAAGCATTACAGCATGTCGTTTCCAAATTTCTGGTGGAGTGCATTGCGTCATGGTGCTCTTTTTATCACAGACGGTGTTCAATTGAAACTACTATATTGTGAAGTCGGCAAAATCAAAAGCAAAGCACATATACGAAATAAAATATGGCGAAAATTTAACTATCGCACTATAATATATATATATATATATATATATATATAAAAAAAATAAGTAGGAGGATTTGATAAACATATAAATAAATTCATTGAGTCTGATATAAACCTCAACAGGAAAATAGAGGAAGCACTGGACGGCCGTTTCGTCCTATAATTGGGACTCATCAGCAGTGCGCATCCACCACCAGGTATCGAAACCCTGACAGTTGGGTTGTCAAGCAGACAACATACCAACTGTACCAACCGGGCCTCGACACCGAAGAGATTCATATCAGGCTCAACATAGCGCCGCTCACTCACATATTCCGTGGCGGAACTCTCCTGTGTATATATATATATATATATACACAATTCATTCTTTTCGATCCACAAGGTCTGAGTGGCGAAATAAAATATTACCATGGCTTTCTGAAGTTTCCGAATTGTTAATTTTACATATATGTTTATTTCACTGTCCACTTAGAGCATATATACACACATATATATATATATATATATATATATATATATATATGCGCGCTCTATCTCAGATACTCAGCACTTTAACTCACATATTGCGTAAGTGAACCCTTTTATATTTGTATAAGCTCTATTATATTGAGCAATTTCAGCCATAAATATGCCATGCCTTAACATTATGTATATGATCTTAGTTTCCACCAACTTATAGCTTATATTCTTGTTTATTACAAATGCCTCTAAAATGTGATTTCCCCAATCTTAAAGCGAATTTGTATTACCTTGTTCCTACCTTGCCAGCATTTTATGTTGCTTTTCGGATTTTTGTGTTTTTGCCAAATTGTCTTCTTATCACTAACTCTACTTGTTCAATGTTTCATCATACTTATGACATGTGATGATCTTGTTATATCTGAAATATTATCTATGCTATTACATAGAATGATTTTTATTATGATGTACAAAACTCGAGTTGTAAAATGACACCGCAATTCCCAAATCCGGTTACTGTAAATAATTATAAAACATTATTTGATGGAATACATATTTATGCTGACAATATAAATCTATACATGCTAAATAAATGTATATCCTTACATTCTTCTATACAGTGAGTGGAAACAAACATTCATACAAATTTATTTTATTTTCAACTAATGAATAAACATATTTTTCATATAATTAACTGTACACAGATGCATAATAATTAATATGTACAGAAAACAGAAAAAAAGAAAAAAATGATTTCCATATATCCATTTTAATGAGTGAAAAAAGTATTCGTATAATACAAAAAAGAATACATAATCTTCCATTAATACTTTGTAGCATAGCCATTATTCACTTCTACAGCAACCAATTTCTACAATTTCTTGTAGTTCTCAATGATTTGAAAATTTTAGTTGGTATTTTGTTCCATTCTTCTTCGCGTATGGTCTTCAAATCCGCGATGTTTGATGGAGCTCTCGATTGGATGGGATTTTTTCAAATAACATCACAGAATCTTGATTGGGTTTAAATCTGGGGAATGACTGCCATTTTAGGATATTTACATTATTTTCAGCAAACCATTTCTTTGTAGATTTTGTAGGGTGCTTAAGATTACATTTGCTTCCAAAATATTTTGATATGCTGTGGCTTGCATTCTACCCTCTATTTTTTTTACTGATCTGTTCCCAGTATATTATGCAGAAAAGTATCCCTAAACTATGAAGCTGCTACTACCAAATTTCACTGTTGGAACTGTGTTCTTTTGTTTGAAGGCATCGCCTTGTTTCGTCTATACATGATTTCTAGAATTACGTCCAAACTCCTCAATTTTGGTTTCGTCAGTGCATAATACTCTTTCCCAATACAGTTTTTTTTTATCCTTATGTTCATAAACAAATGGCAACCTGTCATCTCTGTGTCTTTTCAATAGCAGTGGAGATTTCCGAGGAGAGCGTATTATTAGATTGTGCCTATGAATTTCATTGCATATTATACATTTAATGACTAAGAATCCTAATGAAATTTAATCATCCCTAACTCTTGAGTAACCATTGTATTTTGTCTAATTTGACACATTAATTTCCTCGAAAATCTTGCAGTAATCTTCTGTGGAACACCTGTTCTTTACTTTTCAACAATTTTGAGGTTTTATATTTTGCAATGAATGAACTAATGGTAGCAAATGAAATAATCAGGTTGTTTGTGATTTACTTAACACTCAGTTCTTTTTGAAAAGTTGTCAGTTGTTTACCTCTTGCCAAGATGAAAACTTTCTTGCACGAATATCAATTACACAAGTTTGTATTTTTAGACTAAAAATAACTACTAAGATTACTGGAACATTCTAGAACATTCGACTTCAATATTCTAGGGTTTTAAAACAAAATTTGAAATTCGCATTGTATGAATACCTTTTTCACCCCTTAAAATATATAAATGAGATTTATTTCTATTAAATCATTTATTATGTGCATATTTAGTTATGCATATGTGTACAGTTAATTATATGAAAAGTATGTTTATTCATTAGTTGAAAATACAATGAATTAAAATTTTTTATGTCTAAAATATGTTTCCCGCCACTATATATATATATATATATATATATATATATATATATATATATATATATATATATATATATATAATGCCCTTGAATTTTGTAATCATAAGCTCTGAATGCAGAAGCCATATTGAAACTCCCCCACAACGGTCCATCAGCATTT